TTGTTAGCCACCCAGAGTCACTGGTCTGAGATGGGCGGCTATATAAATCGAATAAATAAAAATAAATAAATAAATGATGGCCAAACCTTGCTATTTTCAAGACAAAGAAAAGCCGTATAATAACTTGACAAACATGATCCCAAAGGCTGAAAGGCTTCCAATGCTAGATGATATCATCTAGTTGACCTTGACTGATCTTGGAGTGGTTCATACATGGGTGGGACACCACCAGGAAACCCCAGGGCTATACCTGAGACTGGGAAGTTAAAAAACTTCCCAGACAAAAAGCAACAGCTAACCTTTCCGTGCGGTTGTCAAGAAAACTTGGTGAATTTGTCCATGAAATCACCCGAACCTCAACTTCAGGGACACGTTCCCCTTAATCCATTCAAATACATACATCACATCTGCTAATTGCAAACACAGTTGATAAGGGCCAACAGGAGGTTAGGCAAGACAAGGCCACTGAGAAGCAAGAAGGAGAAAAAGTAATTTCAGTAGAAGAGAATATCTGTAATTCAAGGTTGAACTGTGGAGTTCTTGATGCTTCTGAGCTGGCTGTTGGCTTGTAGATGTTTCATTACCCAACTAAGTAACTCTGTGCACTGATGATTACCTAGTTGGGTAATGAAAAGTCTGCAAGCCAAAAACCAAGCTCAGAGAGCACCAAGAACTCCACAAAAAGCTTGTGTGGGGCTCCCAACAGCAGAGCATGACCAGGAAGCAAGAGCCACATAGAGTTTCATTAATCAAGTTGAACATCAAGAAATAGAGAGTTAGGATGTAGAATCTTGGAAACCGAACAAGCAAAACTCCTGCCCTGGTTTATGAGTGAATTCATTAAAGTGCAGTTTCTCTCTAAATCTTTTTCACCAGATTGCAAAACTGAAGGACTAACTGCCTTTTTCCAGATAAGTGACAAAGAATGGGAATTTGGGGATCGGTAGCCCCAGTAGGTCAGGAAAGGCTGCTATGCTGACTAACAGAAGCTTGAATCCCCTGGATTTCCTTACTTAGCATATGCTTTTTCCACCAAGGCGCACCACAGTTCATTCTTGGAGTTGGAGTGGCAGTAGATGAGTTGGTTGTGAAGAGTTGGCAGGCGGTCGTCAATCACCACGTCGATCCACTGGCCGAAACGCCAGAACTGAAAATGGAAAATCCCGGCATAGCTTTGTGGTTTTTCGGAGGACCATTCCTGCTCTTTCCAATCTGGAATAACCTGGTGGAATGAAGGAAACAGACAGAGAAGGAGCTTTTAAGGATTACATCCAATGTCAACTTGTCACGTTGAAGGACACATGATTTCTGCTTCGCATCAAGGAGTTCTACAAGAGAAATAGCAGGCTATCTGTCCACCAGCTGAAGGCAAAGGACAACTGAGTCACATAGCAAGACCGTGTCCCCAAACATACAAGCAAGTTGTCAGACCCCTTCACTCCGCAGCACAATCAAGGAAGCAAGATTCACACACTTTCCTTAATGAGCTTTAATGCTAAGAATTAAGGGCTAGACTACAGAATTCTGAGAACAGAGATACGGAACCTCCAAATCTCCTTTATTAGTGAATTCCTTCATTCTCTGAAGCTTCTGAATCTTGTTTGCATGACCAGCTAAGTCTGCTTATTTGATAAGCCCCCAATGGGATCGCCTATCTGCTGACTGCTTGTGTTTAATGACACTCTTCATACCCTCTCAGTCTCAACATAATCTCTCACATAAGAGAATCACAGATCTGTAGAGTTTGAAGGAACTACAAAGATCATCTAATCCTGTTTCTCAATCTCAGCTACTTTAAGATGTGTGGACTTCAACTCCCAGAATTCCTCTCTGGAATTCTGCAAATACTCTCTGCAATGTACAGGAAAACCATTCAACCATCCTCAAGTGGTGGTTAGCCAGCCTCTTCTTAAAACCTCCAGAGATGGAGAACCTACAATTCCACAGGGAGGTTGTTCCACTGTTGTGCAGATCTTATTATCAGGAAATCATTCCTTGTATTTAAATTAAATCTAGGAAGCTGCAACTTATACCCATTATTTCTGATCCATGCATGGAAAGTAGTTCCTGACCATCTTCCCTGGAGCTTCCCTTTATGTACCTGAATAGGCTATCATGTTTCTCCTCTATCTTCTTTTCTCCAGATTGAGCATCCGAAGTTCCTTCAACCTGTCCTCATAGGATATGTCTTCCACCCCTGAATCATCTTCCTTGCCCTTCTCTGCACCTGTTCTAGCCTGTCAACCTCTTTCTGGAAATGGAGCACCCAGAATTGTACACAGCATTCCAGTTGTGGTTTCAGCGGTGCAGAATAGAGGAGAGGAACAACTTCATACATCATTGACCCAATACTGCTTCTCATGCAGCCAAAAGTTGCATTAGAAAACCTAGAATGCCTTCATGGACAAAGAAGAACAAATGTTAGGTTCTGGAATGGTCAAATTGAGGTCCAGACCTAATGCCCACAAAAATGTTTGGGGCAGGATCTGAAACGAGCCGATTGTCATAAAAGCTCTGAAATGCTGTCAAGTGGAAGAAATTTGTCAAGGGAGAACGGGAGAAAATGTGTACAAAGCAATATGAGTGACTGATAGCCAATTAGAGGAATTGGAGGCTGAATTACTGCAGCTAAAAGTGCTGTGCTATCCAACAGGAGCAATTACTTTTTCACACTGTCACATTACTGGTTGCATTACTTTGAAACAAGCACCCAGTGTCTCTGTGCTTTGTTCACCCAGACCCCTCCGAGATAGGCCAACTTCAGGAAATCTGAAAAAGGGCAAATACTTTTTCACAGAACTGCATCTCCCTCACAGACTTGCTTTTCCTCCTCTTATTTACAAGACCGCAGCACTTCAAGCACATTCAATCTCCTTTTCATAACGGTCCTGCTTTCATTTGCTTTTTTCCCCCCTTGCATGCTACCTCCAGATGGCACCAAAAAGCACCCTTTGGGGATGACTGGGAGAATAATTATGGGTTGCACAAGTCATGAGAACATCTTGTTTTTTTCAGACTTGCAAAAAATTGTGCAATAAATCAGGTTGCTCGAATACAGTGTTTTTCAAGCTTGGCAGCTTGAAGATGTATGGACTTCAACTCCCAGAATTCCCCCTCCCCCCCCGCCCGCCCGGGGGGGGGTTGGGTTGGGTTGTGCACCCATCCACCCAACATCCGTGATCGTGGAGGGAAAAATA